GTAGTATCCATTAAAAAAAGCACAATATCAGCAAGTAGACACTCCACTCACAATTGATTAAATTCTGCTTGCTGCTCCCTGATGCTGGCTCCAGGCTCCACGTTCTACCATCGTGGCCCGCCTGCACCCAGGAATCCTTCCGCTGCCATGGATTACTGGAGGAAAATGGAAAAAGTCGGTATTGGCGTGGTGCACCTCCGCGTGCCTTCACTCTCCTCCAGGATCCTGTAGTGCTGCCTGGCACTCGTCCTATGTGAGAGTAAGTAGTCGACCATGATCTACCAGCATCGCCTTTGTAATCAACTGGTATATCGCAATTTGCGTCTGCTCGAAACGTTTGCTGCTTTAACTTTATCCTCAAATAAATTGTGGTAGCACCTGGGTGTGCACACCTATACTGGATGCCCAGGACTCGTGTTTGTTTTTTGGTTGTATTCATGTTTTTGTATGGAGTATGTGTGAGTGAATCTATGGTTGTGTTTGTATGTAGCAGTTGAGTTTGAATGCAAGCATGCATTTGTGTGTAGTGTGGATTTTGAATGTGGTGTGGTTATATATAATGGTGGGGGTTTGTATGCAGTGTTGCTGTTGGAAAGCAGGGGTGTATTTATGTGCATCAGGCAACAAATTTGCACAGAATTTACATAAGCCACCCAGATTTTTTGTTATGGGCTCAATGACACCTCTTAACTTTGGTCTTTGTTTATCAGATAACTCCCCTATTTGTTATACTTATGTGGGATTGCCATATTTCAGGACACCGAGGAGCACCCTAATTTGGTATCTTTAAATATGGAGATTACTGATAAAGGGCACCCATTTATGGAATTATCTACGAAACAGCTAAAAGATCAAAATTTAAAAAGCTCTTTTCTTAATTTTAATCATTCAGTTGTTTAGTAGATGATTCCCCTATTTGTTATCCTTATGTGGGATAGCAATATTTAAGGACACCAAATAAGGGAGTTATCTGCTAAACACATACACATTTATCTACACACACAAAAACACAATATAAGTGTGTGTGTGTGTGTATCCAAGAAATATATATATAAGAAATATAGCATACAACATAAAAATACATATCTACTCCAAAATCTACGTGAGGATAATACATATATTGCTGAACAACTAGAACATGATCTACACTAAAAAGCAACAACAGGACCTTTTTAAGAAGAAAAATAAAACTAAGACTCCTGCAGGATCATCACAAACATCTGGCAATCTATAATTACATTAATGATTACATAAGTATACACGTAGAATTTAAATACATATATATGTATGTATATTAAAATTCTGCTTATATCTTTAAGTAATCTTTTAGCATAATTATGTGATTTTATTAATTAAAATTTGATTGACATGCCTGACAACCCAGGTAGAAAGTGCAGATAATTTAATTTGAGAGCACTATATTTAACCCTGTAACTTTCCAAGACACCATAAAACCTGTACATGGGGGTGCTATTTTACTCGAAAGACCTCGCTGAACACAAATATTAGTATTTCACAGCAAAATGTATTACAACGATGATATCGTCAGGGAACGTGACATTTTTTGCATTTTTCACACACAAATGGCACTTACACTGACGATATTGTTGTGAAATGTTTTACTGTTTTGAAACACTAATATTTGTGTTCAGCAAAGTCTCCCGAGTAGAACAGTACCCCTCATGTACAGGTTTTATGGTGTTTTCAAAAGTTACAGAGTCAAATGTAAGGCTTGCGTTTCAGTTTTTTCACAATGAAATTCGCCAGATTGGTTACGTTGCCTTTGAGACCGTATGGTAGCCCAGGAATGAAAATTTAGGTATTGTAAATGGGGTATGTCCAGTCTTTTTTAGTAGCCACTTAGTCACAAACACTGGACAAAATTGGCGTTCAAATTCGTTTTTTGCATTTTTCACACACAAACAAATATTAACACTAACTTTGACCAGTGTTTGTGATCAAGTGGCTACTAAAAAAAACTGTACATACCCCATTTGCAATACCTTGGGTTGTCTACTTTTGCAAATGGCATGCCATCATGGGGGTAATTCTCATTCCTGGGCTACCATACGGTCTCAAAGGCAATGTAACCAATCTGGCAAATTTCAATGTGAAAATGAAAAATGTAACATGCTATATTTGACTATAAAACCTGTAAATAGGGGGTACTGTTTTACACGCGAGACATCAATGAATACAAATATGTGTATTTTATTGCAGTAAAAGCAAACAGTATTATGACATTCACAGTTAAGATGTCACGTACAACTAAAAAAATAAAAAGAATTCCTATTTTCTCCCATTTTTTAAAATATTTTATTCATATTAAATTATGTTTCATCCATAAATATTTGATGTTAAATTAAAGCCCTGTTTCCCCTGAATAAAATGATATATAATAAGTGTGGGTGCACTTAATATGAAAGAGTCGAATTGCGGTTGAACAGACATATAGTCAAATTCCAGATTTTGTTTACGTTTTGTTTTGATCACAATGTGTACATTTGGCTCAGTCCTTGAGGGGTTAATCCAGATCCTGTGGACTGTAACTACTTTGAATATCAACCAAGCATAGACAAACCAAACACTTTCTTTTTATTTGGTTTTATTATTAGAAAAATACAAATTTTATTTCATAATTATACAAAAGAAAAAGTACACTATATCTTCATGTGATATTTATGCATTACACATAAGTAATAAAATAATTGTCACATATATTTAACAGAGAACATTAAGAAAATTACAAAAATATTTTATGTAACATTTTAAAGTTAATTCAATCTTATCATAACCTCCAGGGAAAGCCTTAGAACAATAAGCTACCAAGATCTGTTTAGCTAATGTCTAATTTAAGTGGATACTTAACAAGAAAAATAAAAACATTCTATATATAATACTCTAATCCAATGTTTCCCAATTGGTGTTCAGAGAACACAATTGGGGTTCCCCAAAATTTGTAACAATAAAATGGCCGTGGTTGGCAAGGGAGCAGTGGGCAGTGATCTCCCTGCTCAGCTCCCTCGCGCGCACAGCAGTGATGCTGGAGCCGGAATATGACATCACTCCGGCTCCTGCATCACAAAGAGGCGCACAAGGGAGCTGAGCAGGGAGATCACTGCTCCCTCACCGCCTGCACGCCAGCCCCACTGGACCAATGGGACATAGAGACTCCATGCCAGCACTCCCAAAGGTAGGGGGGCTGGGTGGATTAAAATTTAAAAGAAATAAAAAATGTATGTGTGTTTGTGTGCTTGTCAGTGAGTGTGTGAATGTATGTGTTTGTGCATGTGTCAGTGAGAGTGTATGTGTGTCTGAGTGTGTGTATCTGTGTGTCAAGGTTTGTGTATGTTTCACTGTGTGTATCTAAGTGCATATGTCAGTATGTGTGTGTGTGTGTGTGTGTGTGTATGTGCCAGTGTGTATCAGTGTGTGTGTGTATATGTGTGTATCTGAGTGTGTATGTGCCAGTGTCTGTATCCGTGGGTGCGCACACACACAGATACACATTGACACACAGATACACACACTGGCACATACAAACATAGATACACACACCTTGACACAAAGACACACACCGGCACATACAAAAAAAGGCGCCGTTTTATTTATTTTATTTCCCGGGGGGAGGGGGTTGGGGTTTTACGATGTTGATACACTAAGTCAAAGGGTTCCATGGGAAAAATTAATTAGGAAACCCTGCTGTAATCCATAATTAAAGGAACACTACAGGCATCAAAACAACATCATAAAATAAGGAGTTGGTGGTTGAAATCCACCACCTATCCCTTTTGTGAAGCGCGTAATAAAAAAATAGATACTTACCCCTATGGAGGCACTAGGATATAAAGAAATATTGTGATTTGAGACCTGTTTTGGCTCTAATCTGTGTGCGTTTAATTATTTACTCTCTCATTCACCCATATTTGTTGGACATACTACACTACATGTCCTTTTTTCCTTATATTTCCTATATCTAGTTCCAGATTTCTTCATACCCTAGTTCCTCTATAGCGGTAAGTGTATCCAGGGCCAGCCCGTCCATAGGATGGACTGGGGCAATGGCCCCAGGCTGCACTTTAACAGGCTTGGCATTTTCCCGCCACCTCTGCTGCTCTCTAAACCTTGGGGAAGACTAATTAGTCAGGTCCTCGGTCAGTGTCCGAGGATCCAATACGAAGAGTCTGCCTGGGGAGAGCCTCCGGTCTGCAGCTCTGCCGAGTGCAGAGCTGCAGACCATGTGATAGAGGGCTTGCGAACACCCGGTGGAGCTGCAGACCTTTTGAACCAGGTCTGAAAAAGCAAAAAGGTATGTAATGGTGGGGAGGCTGGTCACAGCCTTCCCACAGCCTATCACCTCCTCAACATGCCCCCTATACGGTCACCTTCACACCCTGACACTGTCACAATCACATCCTGCCCCTCACCACTGTCACCCTCACACCCTGCCCCACCACTGACACTGTGACCCTCACATCCTGCCCCTATCACTGTCACCCTCACATTGTGCCCCTCACTGTTACCTTCCCACACTGCCATCCACCACTGTCACCCCCACATTCTGCCTCCCTCCACTGTCACCCTCACGTCCTGCCCCACAGCTGTCACCTTCACATCCTGCCCCCCATACTGTTATCCTCACATCCTGCTCCCATACTGTCATCCTCTCATCCTGCCCCCCACCACTGTCACCCTCACATCCTGCAACCCACCACTGTCACCCTCACATCCTGCAACCCACCACTGTCACCCTCACATCCTGCCCCCCACTTGCACCTCCACATACTGTCATCTGTCACCCTGACATCCTGCCCCCCACCACTGTCACCCCCACACTGCCATTGTCACCTTCACATACTGCCTCTCACCACTGTCACCCTCACACCCTGTGCTCCCACTGTCACCCTCACACCCTGCCCCCCACGTGATGTGAGGGTAACAGTGACGGATGACAGTACGTGGAGGTGCAAGTGAGGGGCAGGTTGTGAGGATGACAGTGGTGGGGGGCAGGGTGTGAGGGTGACAGTGTCAGAGTGACAGTGGGGGGGCAGGGTGTAAGGGTGACTGGTGAGAGGCAGTATGTGAGGATGACAATGACAGTGTGAGGGTGACAGTGGTGGGGGGCAGGATGTGTGGGTGACAGTGTGGGGGGCAGAATGTGAGGGTGACACATACTGTCATCCCACACTGTCACCCTCACATTTTGCCACCCGCCACTGTCACCCTCACATCCTGCCCCACAACTGTCACCCTCACATCCTGCCCCCTACACTGTCACCCTTACATCATGCCCCCTACACTGTCATCCTCACATCCTGCCCCCACCACTGTCATCCTCACATTCTGCCCCCACCACTTGCCCCTCACATCCTGCCCCCACCACTGTCACCTCCTCACACTACCATCTACCACTATCACCCCCACACTGTCACCCTCACATGCTGCCACCCACCACTGTCACCCTCTCACGACCCCCACTGTCACAATCACACCCTGCCCCCCACTGTCACCCTCACACCCTGCCCCTCACCACGGTCACCCTCACAACCTGCACCCCACTGTCATTCTGACACTGTCACCCTCACACCCTGTCCCCCCCACAATCACCCTGTCACCCTCACATCCTGCCTCCCACTGTCACCTCCACACACTGCCATCCACCACTGTCACCCCCATACTGTCATCCTCAATCCTGCCCTCATACTGTCATCCTCACAACCTGCTACCTGCCACTGTCACCCTTACATCATGCCCCCTACTGGGATTTTCGGGATGGTATTTCTGCAAACTACATGGTAGTAAAGGGGTTAATAAACCAGTTTTCGTGTATAGATCATTCACCTACAGTCTCACCAATTCTCTGCCATTTAAGAGTTAAATCACTTTTGTTTCTGTTAATGTGACTCACACTGCCTCCATGAGAAAAAAATGGTATCAGATGTTAATTTAGTTTTAGAAGTTTTTATTTTCTGCTCTGTAAATAGGAAGGCTATAACATGCTGGAAGGCAGGGCTAGGGCTGCATGAATAAAGTGATTTAATGCAAAATGGAAGAGAATTGAACAGTGAGACTGCAGGTGCATGATCTAAATAACAAATTTCATTAAGCCATAGTTGTTTTAGTGCCTATAGTGTCCATTTAAGTCAGTCCCTTAAAATGAAATGGTCAGAATTTAAAACAATATCCGATTTGTATGTTGTTGGGATATAATGTAACTATTATGTGCTGAAACCACTAATTTTCTATAGATCGATAAAGCGTCACCTTTAATAACCACTTCACTACTAACAATATTCCTATATGTCAATCAAATTTAGCATTTCAAAGAGAAATTAAATATACCTCAGCGTTCACACCACTACTTGTTCTGACTTGGCTTATTCTGAGAATATGTGAAAAATTGAAATCCTTAAAATTTACTGAATTTTATTTTAATGTCACTATTTTCTGAAAATTGGTATTTTGTCTAAATTGTAAGTGGGATATGCTGTATATTCCATTATTTATATATTTGTTGCGCTTAATTCTTTTAACAAAACTATTGAAAGTGTTAATATAATTGGTATAAAACATTGACTTCTTAAACATGATTGTAGGTAAACATCACCAAAATAACACGTTACCAAACAATAATGAATCGTCATACACTTCTTCGTCTTCCATTTTGAATTATTTTGAGAACATTGGATAAATCAAAACTTTTTGAAATAAGCTGAAGAAGATCATCATCTTTTTGGATACCATTTATGAATTCTTCCAAAGTCAATTCTCCTAAAAAAAAAACAACAAAAAAAAACAGCACAGATAGTTTTCAATAATTACTGCATACACTATGTAGTTTTAGGTTGTAATTTACTATCATTCAGCATTTTCACAGCAAAAATGTCAATCAATGTAGTGCTTACCGCAGTGATTTTTGAGTGCAATGGATTCAATAGCTGAAATTCTACCCCAGTTTGTGAGGGTTGACAATAATGTGCATTACAACATTTCCAGTTACTTAATTTAATACACATTTGTCAGTTTGTGAAACTGGGAAAAAAAATTACATACAGTACAAAAACTGTAAATGTTGACTCCAAACTACTTTGAACCTAATTACGACATTTCAATTTTTGATTCCAGCATTTTGTGATCTTGTGTAAATATCTTGAGCCTGACCTGCATATGCAAATAGACATTGCAGCTATATATAAAACTATCTTCAAATAGATTTATAACCCGGAGATTCTAAACTTATGAAATCCATATTCACAAGCAGCAAAATCCACTGGGAGAGCAAACGATACAAGTGGTCATTGTCTATAAATTTATGAAGCACAGATGGCATGTATGTAATGTACATAAAGCAAAAACCAGATAGAAATTTGTACATACAATGCCAAAACTATCTTGCGCACTTTGTTTTATTGGCAGTAATTTCTGTGTAGGATATTTGCACTGTAATGAATATGGCAAAACTGAGAAACTTAGCAGCAGCAGATCACAATTTTTTTTAAATGCCAGATACTTTTAGGGCTATGATGCATTAATCTTTCCCTGGTTGACACTGTACAAACAAACCCTCGCCCAATACACTCAGGGCCAGATTAAGAGCCAAGTGGGCCTGGTGCTGACAATTATGATGGCCTAATTACAAAATCTTATTGACCAAAAACACTAAAATAGTCCTTTTTTTAGTTCCTGAAATTCTATCCAGGTGGATTTGAAGCATCTTTTTGCTGGGGGACCATCACCACTGCGGCTATTTGTCGTTCTGGAACTACTTACCTGCTATTACAGTAGAGAGCCGACTTATATGGCTCTCCAAATTGTGAGTTTTTCCTGTTATACATATATTTGAACATTTTCTCATATATGTTGCCCTATGAAGGTTCTGTTATATTTATTACAGATTGTTGAAAAACTATCCATTGTGTGCGCCAACCTCTCTCTCTTTTTCCACTAAAATAGTCCTACCTCCTAAGTGTCATGTATCTGATGGAGATGGTGCTGGAGGGAAACCCCCATGTCTCCCAGGTCTCAAAGTCGCTCATTGTCTCCCCGTGTCCCCCAGTGTCTCCATGTCTCTGTGTCCCCTAGTGTCTCAGTGTCCCCGTCTCTCACCGTCCCCATGTCTCGCAGGCTTGGAGCTGCTGTCTGGACTGTGCAGAGATGCTCCCCAGCGGATCAGTGAGTAGTGAGTGGCAGGGAGGGGGATGCTGTAACTTCTTTTCCCTGCCTCTCTCCAAACAAACAGCAACTCCAACTGGCTGGCGCTGGTATTGCAGAATAATCTCTGTTTATACTGAGACAGACATTTGTATTGCCGGTAGCACCAGCTAGGCAGCCTCAAATACCTGAGAAATACTTCTGAGAAATACCTGGCAACCATAAGAAATACATGAGAAATACCTGGCAACCCTAAGAGTAGTGTGCAAAAAAAAAAAAAAAATGCCTGGTCCTGGAGCTGCAGCTCCATCAGTCTCTATGTTAATCCGGCCCTGAATACACTACAGCCACAGCAAAACAAAACTGGGGGAACCATTGCATGTAAAAACATTGCAAGTATATATTTTTTTACCGTCTCCATTGACATCAATCTTTTCAAACAACATAGATGTGAATTCTTCGGGGTTCATGCCCTGGTGGCCATTTATAGCTTGAACTGCCTACAAATAAGAAAATACAATAATAAATAAACACAATTTCTACAATGCTCAATATTTGGTATCTATAAAGTAAAACACAAATTTACGGAAATCGGGGATTACAGGAAAAATGTCACCTCCCAGGATGTGTAATGTTAAGTTTAATTGACCCTATATTTAATAACTATGTATGTGAGGATTGAAATAATAAAATAAATACTCCAATACTCAAAAATACTCTGCTTGTTTAAGTGCATTCTGTCACACCAATGTCTAGACAGCCACTAGAGGAGGAGTTAACCCTGCAATGTAAATATTGCAGTTTATGAAAACTGCAATATTTACAGTTGCAGGGTTAAGGGTAGTGGGAGTTGGCACCCAGACCACTCCAATGGGAAGAAGTGGTCTGGGTGCCTGGGGTTATCTCTCATGCTAAGGGGAGGGAATATGTGTGCTGTAACCAGCTAGTGATAATTTCTAATTTTCTGTGGGTGTCTCCCTTGCATGGGAGAATTGCATAAAAGCAGAGTATGTGGCATTAAAAATCAGTTCTGCTCCTGATGCCGAGTGTAATCCAGTTATTGGGAAGGGTGATGCGAGATTCATGGATTTATTTACGATTTATGCTGTGCTTCGTATGATGTTTTGCTTGTTCCTGCATAGCTATTGAAGTGACCAGCAGAGAATAAGCCCTGCTACCATTGCTCTCCGCTACAGTCACAAACAAAGACTTATTTTAGTGTGCTGTTCACCTTTTTATTTCTGTGTATTCTGGGTTTAGTGCAGACAACTAGTGAAGTTTAACTTTTTGTGACAGCAGTCACCATCGCTGGGGGCTGAAGATGGATACTTTATGTAGGTCTCCCGATTACTCCTATGTTTTAACCACCCTGTGCCCCTTATAGGCTCAGGGTGTGTAATGTATTTGTCTGTTAGTTATTCTCCTCCCCTCTTTCCTTGTTGTTTTCGCAGAAGGGTGTTGTCCCAATGCTTCAGAGACCCCTTTTGTCTGCTGTATAGTATTGTGTGTTTTAGGAGTTTTCTTGTACTATGGGAGATAATTGTGTTAGCGTGTCTGTGTGTATAAAAGGTAAAACAGAAGGGAAGATAATTAGTTCATTATACAATAGCTATTGTGCAATGGATCTTGGTGTCAGGCTGATAATTCAATTATGGATTCTTGACCTAATTCTGTCCTAGACACCAAGGAGTGACTTGTATTTTTTTTGTTTGATGACCCCCTGTTATGATTACTCCTATATATATACCTGTGGTTCACTCAATAAAATCAGTTCTACTTCACCCTTCACTTAGTCTCAGCTAGTGTTTGGGTAAGACTGCTATACAGCTATATTACTGTATCCTGATCCAGCGTGGAGATAAATTTAAAGACGTGCTTGTATAGAATGCCTTTCTTTTAAAAAAATTTCAATGAGATGTAATACAGCTCATTGAGAAGCCTATGAATGGACCTTGCTGTCACAAATAGGAGGATTGCAGCAGGAAATCAATTAAGTGTGTAAACTGACCAAGGTAGGGAGGTGGAGGAGAGAAGGGAATGCTAGATGCATAACCATTTAGAGAGATCTAGAAGACAACATATGTCTAGAAGGCAGACGTGGCTTAGAGCGTTGAAAGCAAGTGTCAATAAAAACGAAATTGAATGCCAACAGCAAAACCGAATGAAAGATGAAATGCCATTGTAAAAGCTAATTATCTAAATTTCACGAAAGAGTCCCTATAACCACTGTCTTTACCATACAAATGACACAATTCCTGTAATGCCTGATGTGACTTTCCCCTTCAAGAAGAGAATGCTTGGAAACAGAAACGTATTATCATCAATGCCACTGACAATGCTATAAAGGTAAGGGAGCCTGTAAAGTGGAATTCGGTGGTTATTCCCTCCCCCATATTACTGATTTATCAGATGCAATACCAGCAGCCAGGGAGAAAAGAAACAGTAGAAATTTGACCCACTCTTGTCAGTCCTGTATTTGTCAGATTGCTTTGTGCAAATGACATGCTGAGAGGTCGTTGATGTTGTGCCTACACTGAGTGCTACAGTCCTGGGCATAGTCAATAACTGATGATACAGCCAAATAGGCAGACATATGGAAGAATTAGAATTTCAACAAATTGTATTCTCTTTGTACCAGACATGAAAGTAGAATTTACATTTGCCTGCGAAAAAAAGATTGTTCACGATCTAGAAAGTGAACCATGCAGCTAAAAAGAGACATGCATCCATCAAGTTCAGCCTTTCTCACATCTGTTTTGGTTGTTGTTCCAAGAGAAGGCAAAAAAACAGTTTGAAGCACTTCCAGTTTTGCAACAATCTAGGTAAAATTCCTCCTTGACCCCAGCATGGCAGTCAGATTTATCCTTGGATCAAGAAGCTATTAGCCCACTAACAGGCCTGGACTGGCCATCGGGCATACCGGGCAAATGCACCCCCCAGACACAGCACCCCCCAGACACAGCACCCCAGACACACAGCACCCCCCACACACGGTACCCCCAGACACAGCGCGCAGACACACACAGCACCCAGACACAGCACCAAGACAGACACACACAGCGCACCCCGACACACACAGCGCACCCCAGACACACACAGCGCACCCCAGACACACACAGCGCACCCCAGACACACACAGCGCACCCCAGACACACACAGCGCACCCCAAACACACACAGCGCACCCAAACACATACAGCACCCCCAGACACACACACAGCACCCCCAGACACACACACAGCACCCCCAGACACACACACAGCACCCAGACACACACACAGCACCCCCAGACACACACAGCACCCCCAGACACACACAGCACCCCCAGACACACACATCAACCAGACACACACATCAACCAGACACACACATCAACCAGACACACACAGCACTCCCAGACACACAGCACCCCAGAAACACACAGCACCCCAGACACACACAGCACCCAGACACACACAGCACCCCCAGACACACACAGCACCTCAGACAGACAGTATTCCCCGCCACACACATATATATATATATGTGTGTGTATGTATGTGTATATATATATATATATATATATATATATATATATATATATATAAAAATCACAATAGTTTCTGGCACTCATCCCATAGCAAAAGCATTAATTCAGCAATGACCAGGTGCCTCTCCGTGCAAAATATACAAATGGAACAAATTGAGAGCACTCATTGGATTTAGTAAACAAAAAAATATATCAAATCAAACGCATATAAATCAACGTTTCGACCGTCTAGCGGTCTTTATCAAGATGGTCGAAACGTTGATTTATATGCGTTTGATTTAATATATTTTTTTGTTTACTAAATCCAATGAGTGCTCTCAATTTGTTCCATTTGTATTTATATATATATATATACATATATATATATATATTTACAGATATATATATATATATATATATAATATATAAAATAACCCTCAGTGAGTTAACAGACAAAGAAAATTAGAATGTGACGGCAGATAACAACACCCTCACACACAGCACCCCTCTTACATACACACACACTGCGCCCCTCACCCATACAATACGTCCAAATATATATATATGTATGTATATATATATGTATGTATATATATATATACACAGACTACAGCACTACATACATTACGCTCCAGATACACGCTAGATCCCTTACCTTATATGCACTCTTAATCCTCTATACACACACACACACACACACACAATCTCCTATACACACTCTGGTCCTTTACACTAGATCTCCTACACACACACTGCACCACCTACACACACACTACATTCCTTGTCAACAAACACATACAACATTCTCTAAACACACCCTCTCTATAACCCCTACACACACTACGTCACCTATACACACACACTACAGCCCGTATGCACACACTCGCTACATCCCCTATAACACTATGCCCCCTATACACACACTCTCTACAGCCCCTAGCCTCACATATTACACCACAAACACAAATGAAATTGACCTATTTACACAATACCACACCACACTCTACACACACGCAATCCCACAAGCAGGCTCCAAACACATGCACCATACACTTTCCTGGCCCTTTTGTCCTCTGGTATCCCACTTGTGGAGACACCAGAGACAATTTAAAAGCAAACACAGCGCAAGCATGTTATTAAATTTGCTTGCGCTGCACAGAACAAATACAGGGCCCTTTTCTAATGCCAGAGCTCTTCAGCGCAGCTCTGCGCATTGAACCAACATGCTCACTTTGAGAGGAGGCGTGCTTGTCATTAGTCATGACAAAACACACCCTCTCTGGCCCCGCCCCCTTCTTAGGGGGCCGCTCTGATTGAAAAATGCCCGGGTCTAATTCTTTTCCCAGTCCGGCCCTGCCTGCTGTTCTTGCACCCCCTGAATGGTGAGTTAATACTATTATACAGCACTTGTAAATTCACACTGTGACATCCCCTCATTCCTCGTATAATACCCTCCCTGACATTATACCCGCCCACCCGCCCTGCCATATATCCACAATTTATCATAATACCCTCCCTGCCATATACACCCTCAACTTGTCATAACACCCTACCTGCTATAAATACCTCCGCTTTGTCATAATACCCCCACTGCCATATACACCACCGCTTTGTCATAATACCCCCACTGCCATATACACCACCGCCTTGTCATAATACCCTCCCTGCCATATACACCCATACTAATTCGATGTCCTTAAATATGTCAATCCTACATAAGGATAACAAATAAGGGAGTTATCAACTAAACAACTGAAAGATTAAAATTAAGAAAATGGATTTTCCCTAAATTGTGAGATTATGTGAGATTCCATGTAACGATACCAAATTAGGGTGATGTTTAGCAGATAGCTCCTTTATTCGGTGTCCTTAACCCCTTCCCACCGGATGATGGACCTGGTCCGAGGACATGTTCTGCAGGGACTTACCATCCACCTCCCTGCACTTCCGGGTTTAGTGTGAAGTGCATGGAGACAGATCAGTGATGATCTGC